TTGCTTCGGGAAAAGAGTACAGATGTAAAAATAAAACTAAGGTAACAGTATTAAGTGAGAAGTTAAAGAAATGCTCTCTTCATCCAACTATTTTTTAAATTTTATTTTCTGATATTGCAACTCAAACTTACAAGTATATGAATCTTATGGAGATTTCAGCATTAAGCAGTTCAAGACTTGAAACTGGCGATTTTATCAGTCATATACTTTTCCAGTCTTTGATGTACAAATATACATAAATTCTATCTTGGCTGTCCATATGATCTTTTCAAGTAGCTCTGAACTGTGTCACCAACAGGTATGAAAACAATTTGTTGACCTAAATACAATGGGCATTTAAGATAACAGCTAATATTGACCTAACTTCAAATAAGCTGCATTTTAAGCTGGAGAGAGGCTGAAGGACCAGTGTATGGGAAAACTCATAATGTGTGTCACATCATGTGCATCATATGGTATACAGTACTTGCTTAAGTGGACCTAAACTATGGAGAGAATGAAAACTGCAAGAATGCAGCCTGGTGTAAGTGAAGAAGATGGAGTATGCTGCTCTCACAACAGGCATCATGGGAATTTGTAGGAGGTAGAATATGAAGGTAATCTGACTCCCATGGAGCCAGTGTAGCTTTTTGAATATTTCAGCAACAGATTCAAACAAAAGTAACCCTTCTGATAAATTCAAAAGCTTTTAATTAAGGAGTTTTTGCTTCCTGAAAATACTCTGGATCTTTTTCTCCCCATGACTGAGAAGGCAGATGTTTGTATCTGAGAAGAGAAAGGGAAGAAATTGGTGGAAATCTAGGAAGCTGGAATTTCAATAGCAAATTGGGAAGAGAACAGGCAGCAGAAAAGGTGAGCCACTGCAGGACTCTATCATAGTTATCTTTATGACACCCATGGTACCTTAGCACAATGCACTGCACACAGTGGGGCAATAGATAAATAATGAAGTAGGTTTAATTCAGTTCAATCACATTTACACTGTGCTTTGCAGTTGCAAAGCAGTTCCCACATATTAGGGAAAAAAGTAAATGAGGAATAAAGAGGCAAACTCGGGATGAAAAGGAAAGCAAAATAGATACAGCAAGTCCACCAGAATGAGAAAAAGGCCAAATCAGTTGGAGAAAAATACTAGAAAGAAAGATTGAGTTTCTTCTCACTTCGTCTATCCCAATCATCCCACCTTTCACGGTTCTAATGCACCCGGGGGCACAAAGTCTGAGTCCTAAAATAAAAGCCCGAAGGAGGCTCCCTCACCTTTACAATAGGCATTTTCAGAAATGGTAAGCCTGGAGTCTCCCACTCATCTATTTAGAGTTTATGTTCTGGTAAACCCTCGGGCAAAGTTCTAACACCTCCCAAGTGTCTTCCACGCCTTGGCCAGGAATCCTTTATTCCATCCCATTTGTCCACATTTCAGAATTCCTAAAATCTTAGGGCAGTGCTGAGCTTCGGTAAGGACATGAGAGGCCCTCTACAAGCCCAGAACTCAGACAACAGAGGGAGGTAGTGAAGCAGGAAAGCCCAGAGACTAGAGAAAGCCCAAGTCTGCTAGCAGGAAAGCCAAGGTCTGTAACTGTGTCCATGGAAATTGCCTGGGGAGGTTTCAAAATGGAAAAAAAAAAGTGAAGAGCCGTCTTGATGCGCACTACTTTGCACCTGGTGCTGAGCCCCTAATCAAAAGCTCCAAGGTACAAAGCCTCAACTGGTCTGCCCCAGGGGGAAGCAAAGGCTGCGCTATGGTATGCGCAGAAGGAAGCCCACACATACCGGCGCGGACTCTGTCCCAAGAGAAGCATGTTTTCCTGCCCCCAAAGTAGTGCGTCCCTTTGAGTATTCTCAACCCAACATGGAGGAGGGGACTTCCCAGCTCCAAAAGGTAATGGCTGTGCCCTGACCCCATTATGCGGTTTTAAAAGTTGCCAGGAGAGTTGGCGCTGGAGAGGACACCTGGCAGGGGCAGCCGCCGACGGGGGCGTCAGGTTTCCTAGGAACAAAGGCAGCGACGTCTGGGCGACCGAGGAAGCAGGTCCTGGGGTTAGGGGTAGAGTCCTCACGGAGCTGGAAGACCAGGGTAGTCACGTACTACCAGCCTGGGGCACCGACGGGAACAGGGAGTGGGCAAGATGCGCCGGGATTCCGCTGCCTGGCTCCCTGCCTCCAACCAGGTGGCGCCCGCCGCCCTCCTGCTCTCCGCGCCCCTCTGACTAAAGACAAAAGGAGACCGTGGACCCCGGCCCCGCCACCCCAGGCGGCGTACTGGCTCACCCGGTGGCAGCGCTGATGTCAGGGTCTGCCGCGGCGGGTGCCGCTCCCTCGTGCGGGGACCCCGTACCCCTGTACCTCATCCCCCCTCCCCACAAGGAGCATTACCTTTCATCCAGTCCACTACTTGACTCGGAGACCATTTGCTCACTGGTTCCATTATCAGAGCCATGGACACTGGGTTGGTGCCGCGCGGGGCGCGGAGTGCAGAGCTCGGACAAAACGAAGTCAGCAGCCCGAGCCGCCCTCAGGTGGGGTCCGTGGCCCGCCGCAGTCTCCCAGGGCGGGCAGCACGGAGAAAGCGCCTTTTGTGTGTCGGCTCTCAGGGCTGTAATGTCTCTCAGCCAACCGCAGGCAGCGGGGTGGGAGCGGCGACGGGGAGGGCTGCGCGCAGGGGTCGCGGGTCCGCACCGGGTCTGCTCGGTCCGGGCTCAGGCGGCGGCGGCGGCGGCGGCGGCTGCTGCTGCTGCTGCTGCCTCCGCCGCTCCGCTTGTGTCTCTGGCCCCGCGGGGCTTCAGTTCATGGCTAGAGCTGCCGAGGGTCGCCGCGGTCAGGGACGGAGCCGCCGCCGCACGCCCGCAGCCAACTTGCCCGCTCGCCTCCTGCGCGCGAGTGAAGCCCCCAGCACGACTTGCTGCCCGGCGGAAATGACGAGGGGCCTCCTGCCACCCCAAATCTCCCTCTCCCTCTCTCTCCCTTCTGGCTCTCTGCAGCTCTCAGCTGCGGGGCGCGCGCGCCACGAGCCCCCCGCCCGCTCGGAGCAGCGCGGTCCCGCCCCCGGGGCCGACGGCAGGAGCGCGAGGCGCGTGCGCGTGCGCGTGTGCGTGTCGGCACGAGGCGGGCGCGCTGGGTCTGTCTAGCAGGCTTGCAGGTGCTGGCAGCTCGCAGCCCAGCACACCCACACGGGGGGACGCCGGGGGGCACAGGTGCACGCTGAGTGCGTGTGCGGCGCCAGCGCCTGCGAGCCCCCGTCTAAGCTGAGGTCAGTCAGTAAGGTGCTGGCTGCGGGACAGCAGCTCCAGGGGCCCTGAAGGGGAAGCGACGGCCACGCTAGATAGACGGGCAGCCCACCAGTTGAACGCTGACGGCTAAGGCCACAGAGGAGGTACTTAGCGTCCCACTACTGAAGGAAGGGCACCTCGCCGAACGCGGGGGTTATGGAGAAAGCTGGGCTTTCCTAGCTCTCGCCCTGCCCCGCTGTTCTGTTCGGCGGGCTCCTGGAGTGATTTCCCAGACCTGAGCCCGCCCACGGAGGTAGGGGCGTGGACTTCTGTGAACTGGAACCGGGCTCTGCTAGCCAGAAGCCAGGCGATGACAAGGCAGGAGGACCAGCGCTGAGGAATCTCTCCCTGGCTTCTTTAAGAAGGGCTCGGGAAGAGGGGCTGCGAGGCTGGCGTGCAAGGTGGTAGTCTCCGTGCTCTGGGGACTGGTTCTCCTCACTTACCTTTTCAAAGGGCTCTTTTGAGTTTTTGGCCAACTCTTCCAAACTAAAAGCCCCCAGTGCCTATTTAAAGGCTATCATTTGGTTTTCAGATGTTATATAAGAACCAAAAGGTAGCAGTGGAATTTAAAAGAAGTGATAATTTACAAACAACATGATTCTTCCAAATCTCGTTTACTTCAAAAGTCTTAGCCTAACATTAAGACCCTTAGTGAAATATAGCTAATTAGGCTTTACTCGAAGCAGCAAATAATCTAAAGATTATGCAGACTACCATAAGTGTTTTTCTCTGTATAATTCTTAAGTAGCTCCATAGAGTAAAAGAAAAACGTTTCAGTAATCATTTTAATAACATCAATAGGTTTTGGCGGTTCCTTCGGTAATCATTTTCTCTATCTCTATTTTGTGAGATGCAGAACTGCCACTTTTTCAGTTGTTTTGAGGTGACTGCCCTAGACACATACATAAAGGGTTAATGTAGCAGTAGTTAAAATATTGTTTTGCTAGTAATACAAATCAAGTAAAATTTAAGAGGTGTGTATTTAGGCTTTTTGTTTTTGTAAAAATACAAACTTTAAAATATTTGTGAAAGTTTGGAAAGATAGTTAAAAGATTAGACAAGTTTACACTTAGGACACAGATATACATTTTTTTGTACCAGGTATGAAACTCATGACCAGACACTTGCCAGGCAACTGCTTATGCCACTGGGCTAAATCCCAAGGCCAGGACACAGGTATAGCACTTTCCTTTAAAAATCTAGATAATGATTGTGATTTAATATTTGGCTGACCAAATGTAAAAGATTTTGTATATTACATTCCAGTTTACTCTAAAAACATTCCATCAGTGTTTATATGGAAAAGCTCATTTACAGCATCAGTAATTTATGGAGTAGCTTTATATTAAAAATAGAGAATTTTTAATTCTTAGGCGTTACAGTTGTAGAGAGAAGTTAAACATTTCACTAGTGCCAAAGGTATGGCTCAGTGGCACAGGACTTGCCTACCATATGCACAGCCCTGGGTTTGACCTTTAGCACCACTTACACAAAAAATAATTTTATCAAAATACTGCTAACAATTAAAAAGGGCATTTATTGAGCAAGATGCTAAGCATTTTTATGTATTTTATTCTCAAAACATCTCTATTATAGATAAGAAAACCTTAGCTATCGAATTCACTTCCCATCCCCAAAATCGATTACACACATTTTTTTTTTTTTAATCAGTACCGGGGATCCAGCTCACTACTGCCTGCTTGCAAGGCAAGTGCTTGTGCTGCTGAGCTGAATCCTCAGCCCCCACACAGTTTTTAAAATGTTGAATAAATTAGCTTTAAAGGGTTAAGTACTTTTGAAGTCACGATACATGATTGTAACACCACGTTATGGTGACTCCAAAATATGAGCTTTGAAAACTAGTAAAAAGATTTGTATCAGTGTATTCAAGTACCAGTATGAGTGAATAGAAGGGTCATTAAATATTGACTGAATATTTTTCAACCAGGTATCAATGCAAGGGGCATGAGAGTCACCATGAGTGGTTCCAGAGTATTCCTGACCAACACCTAACATCAAGAAATTGAACTACACAAGCAAATATGTTGTAGATCTTACTGCAGGCAAGTTCAAAGTAAGATACAACTTGCATATAATGAGTAGATTAACAAAAATGGAAGGACTGGGATACAATAAAAATAGACTTGTATTTCATGAAAAAAGTGCCAAAGAAATAGAAAGCAAATAAGGAGGATTTTGAGTACTGTCCTATATCAGAAAAAACTTGTACATATTCCCTTCCTATTTATGTTGCAGTCAAAAGTTTACTTGGTCTGATCACCTAAAATAACAATAAAAGAATAAGTAACAACTAAAAATGAGTCAAAATGTAGATTTGGAATTTATACTCTAATAGAGTTCACCAAGGTCTTACATATTTATCCTAAATCCTTCTTTCTGAGGTTTCTTCCATAAAACATAGCATTTGCCCTTGATTTTGACGGTGCAGTCAACACCAGTTACTCCACTTAATCTGATCATAATGTGATTGACCTTTCACTTTATTCTCCATTGGGTGGGTAAGAGGATTAAATAATCATTGCTTTTACTTTTTTAGTCTTAACTACAAATGACTCAGCTAAATATTTCCTGCACTTTTTTTGTCTTTTTGAGTCTGGGTCTTGCTATGCAGTTCAACCTGGCCTTAAACTCACTTTGTAGCCCAGGCTGGTCTCCAAGTCACAACAGTCCTCCTGCCTCAGCCTCCCATGTATTGGGATTATAGGTGTGCACCACTATGCTGGGATCCTGTAGTTTTCTTTCTGAAACTCTTCAAGTAAACTAGTTTTTATATTCTATTTTTGAGAACTTAATGCCTTTCTTTGTTTTTGTAAGTATAGAATAATGTGGTTATATGCAAACTTGGGCAGATTAATTTTGCCTTAATGCACAGTACAGTCACAAAGATTGAGAGGAAAATGTTTTGTCCTAAAATACGCATCAAAATATAAGTGGTATGTTGTCATATATCAATCTACATATAAATAGAAAACAATCTTGAGAAGCAGCCTTAGAATTCTTAGAAAGCAAGCAGAGTAGAAATATTCGTAAATTAATTGGAGACATAATTTTCAAGATGCTTACAATTATCAAAATGAATCATGAAATGCTATTTTTATTAATTTTGGAGTTTTTAAAATGATTAATCCAATTCATGCCACTAGTTGTTAAAGTTTTCCTTTTTGTTTTCTCTCTAAATTTTCATTAAAGATCTCTTTACCAACATATTATGTTAAGATTTTATTGTGTAATGATTATTTTGATTAGCTTCATATACAGAATTTATAAGTGATCCTATAATTGGAATCAGGGTGCCTAGTGAATCTGACTCTGAGAGTAATCAGAAGAGTTACTTCTGTTTTGTATATTTTAAACATGAGGTCAGATAGCATGGAGGTCTTCCACTGGAAGAAGGACTTTCAACCTTTGTCTTTTTGAGGCCAAAGAGAGAATCATGTAAATGTTTTTTTTTTCCTCTGGACCTAATAACTGATGACTTCTGAGTTACATATTTTCCGGATGCGGCTACCCTACAAAGGTCTTAATCTTTGCTTACTTTTCCTACAACAAAGGCACTTACTCTGCATTAAATCTACGATATGCCATGCAAGACATCTTTTAGTGTTTTGGGGTATTTAAATTTGAGACAAAATACCTTAAAAGCCTTCTCTAATTTTCCCAGTTTGCTTAAATTTTGTTTTTTTTCTATATCTGTCTTTAATTTCTACATGTTTTGCTTTCGTAATATTTTATCATAATTTTTCCTCTCTTTTTGTTTTTTCAATGGGCTGATCACTACAACATAGAACAATGGGTAGTCCATGCCCTAACATATAGAAAAAGATAGGAGTTTAGTTTTTCAAAGATCTTTCCTATAATTTTAGAAATAGGCATTCTGTATTGGCCCATGTTGTATCCCTTAATTAGAAAAAATTGGTAGGCAATTCTAAAAAGACTAATAGTGATAAAACATAAATTATTCCCAAGAACAACTCAAAAACATGATCCAGAGAAACTGCAGCAAACTTTCTGAAACAACGCTGTTATTTTCTTATTAGTGTAATTCAACTAACAGTTATAAATTAATAACCAAAGCAAACCTAAGATTAGAAATCTAAGTTCCTAATCATCAGATACCAAGTATAAGAAATTTTAACTGTAAATGGGCCTTTAGTGCACTGCTCTGGTCAGACATCTCTAGATTTAATAGGGAGAAGAAGCACCCAGAGAAGATCATTAGTATAATTCTTCCTTTTTGTTTTACCTCTAAAGTAAACTATGTTAAGTCAAGCCTCCCCCCACTAAAATTTACAATAATCCTCTTTAGGCAAAGATAAAATGGCTTGCCTTGAGAAGTGAGTGAGTGTTTGTTTGTTTAGGGGGAGGTCTTTCCAGTGCTCACTCATGCTGCATTAATGACACTCTGATAAAAATCTCAGAGTCCACCAAGTTAAGGTTTCTTAATTTATAAAGAAAGCCCTATCTTACCATGGACATTTCCAATGTACCTGGCCACCATTAATGAAGAGCATATAAATTAATTATTCAACAAATGTTTCTGAACACTATCAATATGTTAGCCCACGTTGTATTCTTTGATAAAATAATAGCTTGCCTTTATGGATGTGGACGGTCAAAATTTTCATAGTCTGGGAGAGAAAACAGGAACATTAACAGCTATACATAGAATAATATGATAAGTGCAATAGGTGTGCCTGGTGCTATGCAAAGAGAACTTCAGAAGAATCTGGAGGAGATCTAAAGAAAGACATTATGGAGGGAAAAATGCCTGTTTTAGGTCTTAAGTTTGTTAGCCGAGCAATAGGAAGGAAGAGGGCTTCTAGGCAGAACAGTGTGAAGAAAGTTACAGTGTGTTATGTATGGCTACCTGAAGGCGAATTAAAAAGCAAAGTGAGACATGAATGAGGGGTGGGAGGGACAGGTGACATCAAGATTATGGGGAAAAATCAAACTAAGAACCATTTAATGATTTTGAATAGTAAAGCAATTTAATTGTGTTTATGTATTTTGTATAGAGTAGTCTGATTGCCGTGGAGAGTACATTTCAAATGGACAGATTGGAGCGGGGTGACAGTAGACCAGTGATGTAATGACTCAGGTCAGAAATTTAGTTGTGGAGGTGATGATGGAGCAAAGATGGATCCAGAATAATTTGGTGACTGTCTAGATATGGGAAGCTGTATAGAAACAGTGAAGGATGATTCTCAGAATTCCAACTTAAGTAAATGGGTAGATAATTTTTTTCATGTAATATGAAAACCATAGGCCTACTTGGGAGGAGGAGGTAATCTGAGATACTCTATTTTGGATTTCGAATATGAGGTATCTGTGAAAAAAAGAATTTTCAGTAGGCAATCTCTGCATTCACATATAGGAATGTGACTGTGACAGTATGGGTTGAAGATATAAATGTGTGAGTCACTACTAAAACAAGAGTATGAACGAGACAGAGATAATAAAGGATGCTAATAGAGGAAGCACACAGAAATGCAAGAGAAGTAAATACAAGAAAAAGGCAGTGTCATGGTAGCCCAGTGAACAAATAAATTCAAGAGAAAGGGATAGAAAACTGTGTGAGATGTAAAAATAGTGTTCTTACAGTAAGAATTGAAAAAAAATTGTTGGTTTTATTAGCTTTGGATATCCTTCATTGTGTTATTAAAATCTGTGAAAAAACTGTATTTCAGAATACGGAAGCTTGATGTATAAGACATTAACTTTTCACAGGTTGATTTTTTGCACCTTTCTTTTATCCTAGCTATTATGTATTTTATTGCGGTGGCTCCACAGTGAATGACGTCTCATCTCCAATTTACTCATCACTACTTGGATTACTGTTTTCCAATGAAGTAGAAATGATTACTCATATCTGTTTATACTTTCACCATTTAGAATTCTGGAACCACTTAAACTGGGGTAGTTTTGAATTCCCCCGTCAGATTTGTAAAGAAACACTTTGCTATGACGCGGAAATCTTACACTCCCTCCACATAGCTATGAAAACAAAAAAACAACCACAACATAGTGCCTGTTTGAGGAGGATAGCCTAGGATCCTCCCCAGAGCATGGTAAGATTGTCTACTGAAGAACTATCCCAGTCTGTTTCCAATGCCTGATTCCAGTGAGGCATGGAACTTTCCATCTTACTCAAACTTCATTTACAGCTTTAAACTATTAAACAGTTTGTCTATAGGTTAGAATTAGCTTCTCAATGTGAGTGGCCCAATATTGCATTGTTTGTCATCTGGGCCCTCAGATTGTTATTACTGTATAGGACTAGGGATATTAGGAATTGACACTGTGCTAATTTTGCATTGCTGTCTATGTAATAATAAACTAAAGTCAATTGGGGCTGTTGTCTTTTTACTAACTGAATCTGTGAAAGTGTGACAGGCCAATTTAGCAGCTGCCACCTATGCTTCAGATTAGGATTGCTTAACTACTTGGCATGGATCTGATCTAGGAAGTCCATAAATACTAAAATGAGTGAGCTCTGCTGAAAACCTCTGTCTGGCTAAACTAGGCCAGTCCAGCATGGCCTAGTAAATCACCAACAGCAGCAGTAGCAACTTGATTTGAAATTTGAAAAGACCTTTTGCCTGATCATTAGGGCCCCCTAAGGTCATCACATAATTACTAACCACATGCAAAGGATACAGGCTAAAAAACATAGACCTTGATCTAAGCCCTCTTCTGAATTTTAACATTATTTATAACAAACACCTAGCTGTAGAATACATGCTGACATTCAGGATCCATTTTCGTCTGAACATTTAGCAGTAGTGCTATGTAGTAGTGCTTATTTGGTAGTGGCAAATGTGAACTGGAAAAATTGACACTAGATAATATCAAAGGCCCTGTTTGTAATGTAACTGGTCTGTAGACAGATCAAAATTTTAATATAAGAGATGTTTAAGATAAGAGATCAATTGTTTAACCTTTGGCTAATGTGGTAATCAGTGATTTGCAAGGAAACAGATTTGATACAGAACACATTTATAGGAATATCTTATAATATTCACCCAGAAAGTTAAATGCAGAAGAGTACAAGAGATCTGTCTGTGCCCTAGAGACCTGAAGAATCCAGCGAGTGCCTGGATGCCATGGCAGTGCCCCACATGGGTCTGGCTGAAGGCCTAGGGCCCACAGCTATGTCCTGCATGAGTCCAGCCAGAGGCCTGGAGTACCAGCAATGTCTCATCCAAATTTGTATCAAGGATCTGCACCAGGAAAACCCAAAGACCAATGGTGGAAGCTACAAAGCCTGGGATAGCGGGGTGAAGGGATCTGTCCAGAAGGTTGAGAGATCTGCATGGAGCCAGGAAATGATCAAGACCAGAGCTCCCCTAAAGAGAACAGCAGCCATCCATGTCCACAGTAGGGACCGAAGGACCTCCAACATGAGAAAAGCCAAGTCTTTCAGAGAAACCAGCCACAACAAACCTCCTTCTAGGAAATCAGCATCCCACACGCTTCCCCTCCAGTTCTGCTTTTCTGCCTTTGGCAACAATCCTCAGGTGGGTCTTCCATTCAGCATACTGCGCTGGCTCAGTTCAGCTGAGTATTCCCACTGAGACTGACCGTTAATTTATCCATCACAGCTAATAACTGAAAGATAAAGAGGGAAAGTGGTAAAAGAAGATTTTATCTCCAAAGATATTGTCTTTTTTTTCCCCTGAAATAGATCTTTTTTACTTCTAGGAAGATTGGATAATTACTTAAGGCAGTTCGTACCAAGTGGAACAGATCAGCTGTTTCTACTGATAAGGAACTGTATCCAAAAGGGAAGAAAGTATCACTGCTTTTGACATTTTCTAGGTTTTGCAAAGAAATGGTTATTTTAATGATGTAATGAAATATTTTAAAAACAATTTCATATATTTTGAAGCACAATGTAAGCTATTATTGATATTTCAACATGAGAATTTATTCTGAATATTTCCTGTGGTAAGTACTATAGATTAAAAAAAAAAAACTAGTAAAACATGGTTGCTGTCCTCAAAGCACTTAAATAAAACAAAGTTAGGATTTTTTTTTACAGAATGTAGGAAGTGAAATGACAGAGACATTAAAATATATTATGAGTATATTTCATAGTACAAAAATATAAATGCATACCAAATCAATGAATAAACATTTCTCTCAATTAGAAGATGACTATATAATTTGTATGTTTAATATTTTGTCTCCATTCATTTAACTAACATTTATTAAATATTTACTGTGTATTAGGCCCTGGTACCATTTCCATTATATTTACTAGTTGCACATGGGGCTTAATCCAGGCCTGATGATATAAAAAGTTTGTGATGATTATGGAGTAGAAATGGAATCACTGGGCAAAGAGAATGAAGAGAGACTAGAGAAATAGCTTGGAATTGGATAAAACAGAACATGTAGTCCACTTTAATAAGTATCTTGGAATGCAGTGAAAAACAAGAATTATGAACAGACCATTCAGTCCAGCTATATGAGTAGTATTCAATATATTACCAAAAGAATTACAATCAATGTACTTTTCAGGTACTTGCATACCCAGCGGTTTATTGGACTCAAATCACACTAGCTAAACTGTGGAAACAGCTAAGGTACCTATAAACAGATAAATGGGTACAGAAAATGTGATATATGTGTATGCATAATTGAATATTATTGAGCTTAAAGAAAAACAGAATCATGTCATTTGTAGAAAAATGGGTAGAAGTGTAAATCATCATGTTACGAGGAATGAACCAGACTCAAGTATCATGTTTTCTCTCAAATGTGGAAGAGGGAGATGATATGATGAAATCAGAATGGAGAGTATTAGAGAAGAGGAAATGGATCAAGAAGGGGAGATAATGATCAAAGTATGCTATATGCATGTACACATATACCAAAATGAAATTCACTATTGTTTGTAAAAATACATACTTTTAAAAGACTTGCAAACAGGTCAGAAATGATTTCTATTTTAAATCAAGGAAGTACGTCCTCCTCTAGAAAGGTAGACATGTTTTTCCCTATAATTTTTAATACATACAAATGAGAACCCTGGAAATAAAAATCCTGGAAATTATACATAAACCTAAGAACACTGAAAGATGATGGGAGGGAAACTTAGACCTAAGGAATGACATGACATTGAGTTCCCTAAGTTTTTTTTTTTTTTCCTTTTTACCTCATACTTTACGGACTTAAAAATGAAAGAAGCCAGCAATCTGGAAACACCAAAGATACAGACAAAAGGCCAAATAAATCTTGCTCCCTCTAGCTAAATGACCAGAAAGAGAGTAGTCTAGTAAGACAAAAAAATTAAGATAAAAACCAATCTTCCTGCCTGACACCACAGAATAAACTGTGTCCCCACCCCTACCCATGCCAACGTAGACAAAATAGGGAGCATAGATAACTATATTTGCCATATTGTAGCAAGGCACTGTGACATCCCTGCCATGGTAATGTAAGAGAAGGCCAAATAGGAACTGGAAGTTTTACCTTTCCCACTCAGTAATTTCCTTCCCATTCCTCTGGAATGTCGGGGGAGTCTGTACTTTCATTTCCATCTCCCTGAATGCCAGTAGAGCCTGGACTCTTACTTTCATTCAGCAGTAATGGGATGTTCCCCTACCCACTGGAATGGTAACAAAGAAGTCTTTTTGATAGTCTCAAGAGTCCTTTTGGTGCTAATAGAGGGTCCCTATGGAAAGTCATGACTTTGAGCACTGCCCAGCACTAATGAGGCCACCACCCAATCCACAGTGATGACAGAAATCAAATGCTAAGCATACATAATGAAACACTGTCCCAGGCAAGGAGACCAGGGGAAGCAGGCACAAAGGTCAGAATTCCAACCACAGTATAGGAGTAGTAAAAGGCTCTAAATTCAAGTATCAACAAGAACTGAGTGGGGACCATAATATTTTGCCACATGGGGCTGAAAGAAAGTATCCCTGCTTGCTCTACCAGAGAAGTGTCACAGAAATCCAATTAAATGTTTCATATAAGATCCAAAACCTCAGAACATAGTACTCAAAATGTTTTAAGTTTCATTAACATTCACTTTGTCATACCAAGAACCAGAAGATATTAAACTTAATGGTAAAAGAAAATCAATGTTAATCTGACAACATTAAAGTAGAATAGCGGTTACAGGTACAAATGAAAGGAAGTTTGGGGAGTTACTGGTTATAAATGTATTCTGAAAATGGGTACTTCAGATGGTTTACAACATTGTGAATATACTTACTGAATTTTATACTTACAAATGACATAATGGTTTTGTGTGAAATGTATTTACCACAGTGAAAAAAAATTAAAAACATAAAATAGAAAACCATAGAAAGAAGAGGCACAACATTTTTCAACTATTGAAAGAAAAGAACTATCAACTCAGGATTCTATAATCAGCAAAATATCCTCCAAGAATGAAGGGTAAATCAAGATATACTCAGGTGAAGGGAAAGTAGGACATTTTTTCAGCTGATCTATTATAAAAGAATGGATAAAGGAAGTTCTCTAAACAGAAAGGAAATAAAAATAATGAAATAGTAGAACATCAGGAAGGAATAAATTATTCAGGAAACAAAATATTGGTTAGTATAGACTTTCTCCTCTTCAATTACCTCAATTGTTTTTAGTTGAACAGGAATTGTAATACTAATATGTTTATATATATATATATATATATATATATATATATATATATTCAGAATTGAGTTATGCCAGTAGTGACTATCATGTTTGTGTCTTTCTACAGTGTCAAAATCTATTAAATGTTAACAGATTCACAAGATACAGTAGTTTCTGCTACAATAATTTAACTTGTAGTCATGACCATGGCAATTACAGGTTCTTTATTCCATGTCAATCTTAATTACTAATCTTAATCACTAATATCTTAACACTCAATTATCTTAACACTCAAATCACACAGTCACTTTTCAAAAAATAATGCTTAGGCTACAGAAAGTAGTCTACAGTTATGTTTACAGAGTAAAGAGTCTGCAAGAATTCATAAAGAGCAAAGAGTCTATAGGAGTTCATAAATAGCCATGCAGGTGATTAGGTATCTAGTTAATGAACTAGTCACAGAGATGTCAAGGTGAAGGGTCCAGTGTCGAGATGAACAGCATTAATAGCAGGAATGATTGTACTGAATTGGGGCTGGAGATAGCTGGGTCATTGTTGCTTGGCACTCTCCTGAGCAGAGGTCAAAATGAGTATTACTGGAGTGATTCATGATCGAGTAGTAGTTCAGTGTGCTGTCCTGCCATCTGAAGTGCCTCTCATTACTTATATCTAGGATTCTCTGGCTTAATTCGGTAAATTTGCATGTGTTGTGTTACTTCCAACATCTTGTGGTTGCTTAT